ACCCAATTTCAAAAATACATTTGCCGTAAGAATTGTACCACTGACAACTACCATCCTGTCGCTGAACTCAGCTATTGTTCAAATTTGCACATTCCTTGTACTATCACCTCTTAGCTATCCATGGAAACATGTTTAGAATCACAGCTGGTCTACAATATGCTCTAGAGAAATTTTTTTTCCAGTCAGTTGGTATGATCTCGGAGAATACGCACTCGTCCAATATTCACCTTAGCAAAACATAACTAAGAAGGCAAATTGAGAAGACAGAAAAAAATGCAATATGCCTTTCAAAAATTAAAAATTTTTGAACTGTTTCCTATTTAGGGATAATCCATGCCAATCTTCTGCTCTCTTGGTGCAGATAATTACAATATTATTCTATAAATGAGGTCAGATGAGACAACAGACCAAGGGGGCATTTATGTTCAATAAGCCCTCTCCTCCTTAACATGATCACAAGCATGTCACAATCTGCATATGATGTTATACTTGAAATGGGGGGAAGTAATTTTTAAAAGAAGCCTGTTAAACCTGGGAATTTAAAAAATATATATTTATTTAATTTTATTGATTGATTCTTTTTTTTTTAATTTGACCAGAGAGAGATACAGAGAGAAAGAGAGAGGGAAAGTGAGAAAGCAAGCCACCAGGTCCGGGAGTCAAATTATGGTCAGCCATGTGGGAATGTCCAGCGCCTTAACCACCACACCTCCCCAAACCTAGGAATTTAAGATCCTTTCCATAAGGAAAATTCATCAGTAGCTGAAGAGTACTTCTCCATGGAAAAGGGCTATTTCTGGCCCTAAAAATGTGTTTGTGTGTGTGTGTGTGTGTGTGTATCCCAACTGTTCTTCATGATAAGTTTAATTTCTTATTCAATCATATCTGCAGTAATACTGAGAATTCTTTTAAATGAACCAGTATAGTTTTTATTTAAAATGGTAGTGCTTTTCTTTTGCTTTGTATTATAGTATTAATTATCCTGAAAGAAAGTAACAATGTGTTTGAAAACTTGCCCCAATTAACCTTAGCAATTCAAAACATTGGTAGCCTATAATTAGTACTTTCTGGTTTACTGATAATTTGTAACTCTTAGACTTATTTTTTAAAATTTAAGTATAGGCTTTAGAGCTTCTTGAATGTATATGTTGACTGAGTTACTAACAGAGATTTATATTTTCAAAAACTCGTTAGAAAGATGGACTGCTTTAAAGAGTCAGAAAACAGAGAAGTATTTGAGGTTGAAAGTTTCAGTTGTAGAGACCTCTACGATTGGTAAGATGTGATATATTACCCTCGCACATCGACATCGATTCACTCCACCGGCATTTCTTACAACGGCATATGACTTTCAAGCATTTCCAAAGCCCTAAGAACTCTTTTTTTTCTAATGAATTTTTACTCACAGCCCCAGTTTATAAGTGAACAAAGGGGAATCGCTGAGACTGAAGATGAAGTAGGCACCCAGAAGCATGCCCCCTTACCTCTTCCTCTGACTGTCACCAGGAATCCCCAATGTCCCCAGGTAGAAGTACCCTAGGATTCTGGTTAGCATCGCTTTAAAAACAATGCAGTAGGAACCAGCAGATGGCATAATGTTTAGGTCGTTGGACTCTGACATGGTGAACCACAGTTTGAGTCCTAGACCCGGAGGCTTGAAACTCATGCCAGGTGCATATGCATTCATGACCAAAATCCCAAGAGAAAGATGGAGGAGAAAGGATTTGTGGCATGACCATCTCCAGGGGAGGAGTGGGTCTCGCTTTCTGTCTTACTCTCTCTATGTTTCTGGCTAGAGCATGCACCCTATAGCAAAAACAAAACAAAACAAAAAACAATGCAGTGTTCCCACTTCTCTATTCTACCTATCCACATACTTCCCACACGGATCTGCTGGGAGTCCTGTCTCCTCACACAGAGCAGCATTGTTACCTTAATACTTGGGAAACCCTCCCATGGTAGAAAACTTAGCACTTGACTGTATACAATCATAATCTTCGGCAATTTTCAGAGGTTCACATTTCCAAGGCCTCACTATGTGCCAGGCCCTGTGACTGAGAGCTTCTCTACATTCGTTATTTCCTTTACTCCTCCAAAATGTGCCCTGTGGGCAAGCGACTACTATTAAGCCCATTCTACAGATGAAAAAAAGAACTAGTTCCCAGAAAAGTTAAGTAAACGGCCCAAAGTCATAGACTTATCAGGGAGTAGGAGGAATCAGACTTGTAATGCAGATTCACCTGATAACAAAATCCAGTCTCTTACATTGCTGATTGCACGCTTGCATGTTCTATTTCCCAAGCATAGCATAGGCTCATGTAAAACAAGAGTCATGTTTTATCATCCGTCATAGGACCAACACGCATATTAGTACCATGCAGTAAATACTGGCTGGTTTCATCATTTTACTTGTTTTTATATGCTTTCTAAAATTTCAGATAGGCCCTAAAGGTTTGACATAGTCCTTCAACTTTTTCATCTTTCCTCCACAGTCATACCATTTGACCCAATGGTGGATGAACAGAACCGGAACCATAATTCTCTAAAGGCTTTTTTAATGATCCATGAGCAATTTTGGATTGGAACTTTAGTCATTAAAATCTGATGACTCTTTTGGTAATGTATGATTTGACTGCTCTTTTATAAAATCAGCCTAAATTTCAAACATCTCCCTGATACCCACAGAAGCAAAAATAAATAAAAGAGCTATACCTCAGCACTCCAAGAACCTGTTTCTGTCTGCGACACGCGGTACGTGTAAATGTAACCTTGATACCTGTGAAAGAATAAATTTCAATTACTGCAAAATTCAAGAAGAACAATAGATACTCTAGATTTGAACGTACTATTATATATAAATGTTACATACACTGGGACACACATATATGGCTCCATTGCATTCAAAGGAAGCAAAGTCCAACAAATCTGTTTGTATATTGTATCTGTTTTTATCAAAGTTTCTGGTGAGCCTTCCTTATCTTTCTATTTTTTTAATATTGAAATTCACATCCCTATGGATTGTCTTGTTGATAGAGTGAGTGGACAGGAAGAAACTGGGGTGGGCACAGTGGTAAAAGCACTGGACTCTCACGTGAGTCGGTGGGCATGGTGACTTGAAACTCATGACAGGCATGTATGCATATGTGCCCAAAATCCAGAGAGGAGAATGGAAGAGAAGGGATTGCAGCATGGTCATCCCCTGTGAAAGATGATTTCTCACTTTCTATCTCTCTCCATCTCTCTAATAAACACATACACCCTATAGCAAAAATATCTCAAAAAAGAAAGAAAGAAAGAGAAAGAAAGAAAGAAAGAGAAAAAGGAAAGAAAAAAGAATAAAAAAAAGAAAGAAAAAGAAAGAAAGAAAGAAGAAAGAGAGAGAGAGAGAGAGAGAGAGAGAGAGAGAGAAAGAAAGAAAGAAAGAAAGAAAGAAAGAAAGAAAGAAAGAAAGAAAGAAAGAAAACAAAACTAGTGACCTCTTATAATGGATAAAAACCATGAATCATTAAATAGTTTTTTGGTTTTTTTTTTTTTTTTTTTTTTGAGAGATTTTCACTGTAGGGCGCATGCGCTCGCCAGACAGAGAAAGACAGAGAGATAGAAAGTGAGAAATCACCCCCCAGGGGGGATGGCCACACCACAATCCCTTCTCCTCCATTCTCCTCTCAGGATCTTGGGCACGCACGCACACGCACCCGGCGTGAGTTTTAAGCCACCAGGTCCAGGACGCGAACCGCGGTCGACTACGTGGGAGTCCAGCGACATAGCCATTACGCTAACTGCTGGTTCCCATTAAATAGTTTTAACAAACGACACTCTTACTATTTTTAAGAATATATAACCTTAAAATGAAAACATTTCAGTGGGATAAGGCACACTGAAATCCATATAAATTAATAGTAATACTATAAATCATAAAAATAGGCAGCAGTAAAATATGCTCTCCAAGGCTGACACACATGGAAACATTACAAGTTCACTTTCAAACACCTCCCTAAGTACCTTGGGCACTTGCATGCCAATGAGCTAGGGCTGGCTAAGGCTGAGGTGGATTGTGGCATCACATGGCTGATCACAGTTCGAGTCCCAGACCCAGTGGCTTGAAAGACACTGGGCACATGTGCATGCATGCCCAAAATCCTGAGAGGACAATGGAGGAAAAGGGACTGTGGTGTGGCCATCCCCCCTGGTGATTTCTCACTTTCTGTCTCTCTGCCTCTCCGGCAGGTGCGCACACCCTATAACAAAGAAATCTCTCTGAAATAAAAAAAAAGAGAAAAGACCCTGTTGGAGGTACCGTCTCCCTGTTTGTCCCTCTTGCTCATGGAATAAATAAACTTCTTTTTAAAAAGTCTTATTAAAAGAAAAATAATACAATAGCAATAAATTATAACTATATATTTTTGACTATACTAACATACTACTACTATTACCATATTACCCTATAATACATTATAGTAGTAATAGCACTAGTATACTGAATTAAAAAGAAGTGCTAGTCCAGCTGCTGGGGCTAGGTGGTGCCTCAAGTACTCTGTAAAGATGGAGACCATATGGTGGCTGCAGGTTTGGATCCTTAGGTCACCTGAAAACATACCAGGCATGCACATGAGCACCTAGAATCCTGAGGAGGTGGAGGGCTGGAGGAGGGGGATTGCAGCATGACACAACTCTGTTGAGGACTTTCTAACTCATGCATGCATGCTCTCTATCATAAAAAATAAAATATTTTTTAAACAAACACTTCTAGGCCAGCTACAGTGGCATAGTAGTAACTCAATTCTCCACAATGCAGAGGGCACCTGGGAAAGTCCTGGGTTCATATCTTGAGGTCTCCTTGTACATACCAGGCACATATAGGCATACCTATGATCCTGGCTGACTTAGGGACTAAGGTAGATCATGAAGCAAAAATCTTTTGGGGAATGCCTATCTCTCTCTTTTGCTATCTCTCTCTGTCTCTCTGTGGCTCTCTCATGAAATAAACTTTTTTTTAAAAAAAAAGAGTGCTGCTCAGAGAATGAATGTAAAATAAATTAATTCATTCATAAAAAAAATAATGCTGCTATAGTACTGAAAGAAGCTTGTCCTTTTAGATTGCATAAATATTCTCTCCCATTACTCAGTGTGCATATTACACATCTATATGATTGATTTCTACTACATGACAAGAGTTGTACGTCTACCCAACTGCCATAAAAAAAATACATGTAGTAGATGGCTTAAACAAAAGAAATTTATTTTCTCACAGTTCTGGAAGCTAAGAAATTCAAGAACAAGGTGCTAGAAAAGTAGACTTCATTCTGAAACCTCTCCTTTTAGTTTGCGGGTAGCTGATCTCTCACTGCATGCTCACATAACCTTTCCTTCTTGCACACACATGGGGAATGAAAGCCCATTTAACTTTACCTCCTGGAAATCCTGTCTCCAAATATAGTCACTCTAGGGGGTAAGCGTTTAAATTTTTTTGGGGGGGGACAAAATTCAGTTCAGAGCATTCTACCCCTGGTCCCCCAAACGAATGTCCTTCTCACATGAAAATACATTAATTCCATCCCAATAACCCCAGGACTTAACTCATTCTGGCATCAACTCTAAAATCCAAAGTCTTATCTAAATATCTTCTAACCAGATATGGGTGAAATTCAAGATATTATTCATCATGAGACCAGTAGTTGGCGTAACGACTACGTCACTGGACTCCCATATAGTTGACCGCAGTTCGAGTCCCAGACCCGGTGGCTTAAAACTCACGCCGGGCGCGTGTGCGTGCGTGCCCAAGATCCCGAGAGGAGAATGGAGGAGAAGGGACTGCAGTGTGGCCAACCCCCCAGGGGTGATTTCTCACTTTCTGTCTCCCTGTCTTTTTGGCGAGCGCACGTGCCCTACAGCAAACATCTCTCAAAAAAAAAAAAAAAAAAAAAAAAAAAAAAAAAAAATCTTGAGGCAAAGTTCCTCTCCATTTGTGAACCTGGGAAACCAGGTAAATTATGCATTTTATGCATTTCCAAAATATAATAGCAAGACAGGCACAGGATAGATATTTCCATTCAGGTAACCTGGGGATCCAAATCTGGGGATCCTGGGATAAATCAGAAGGAATAAATCAGAAGGGGTCAGGAGTCTCAAGTAAGATCACATTCTAGCAAGGCAAATTCCACTAGATCAGAATAGCCCTCTTTGATTCAATGTTCTGCTCTTCAAGCCCCTTGGGATAGCAGTGTCATCACAGCATTCTGTGGCCTAACGCTTTTAACTGGGGAATGGTCCAGCTCATGTGGCTCTATCTGGTGTCAATCCCACCCTTTGAAGTCAAGGTAGAGTCAACCTTGCTCCCAGGCCTATGCCTATGGATCTAATGGGAGTGCAGTCCTGATGACCTCCAAATCACCTTCAGGATCATTCTTCTCTCTTCTTTTTTAAAAAAATTATTTTATTTAACTTTATTTATTTAGTTAGTCTAATTTGACCAGAGAGGGAGAGAAAGAAAAGAGAGAGAGAAAAAGTGAGAAAGCAAGCCACCAGTTCCAGAACTTGAACCACGATTGGCCATGTGAGAGTCCAACACCCTTAACCACCACACAACCTGCCAGCCCCATTCACTCTTCTTGAAGGATAAAGCATAGTCACAGCCAATTAGCTCTGCCATATTTCCCTGTTTCCGTTAATCCACACTGAGAAGTGTCTGTGCTGCTCTGGCCCAACTCTATCCCTGGCTTCTGCTGAGATGGCTGATTAACACCACAGATAACCTCTTTTAAGAGTGAGTCCAGCCAAACCGTTGGTGTTCTCTCCAGAAAAAGTGTTCTCGTTTTTACAATACGTATAGGCTGAAAATTCTCTCAATCTTTAAGTTCCAGTTCCTTTTTGCTTAACAAATTTCTTCTTCAATTCATCTCTCTTTTTTCACATTTTACTAGAATCAATCAGAAAGACCAAGACACTCCTTCAACACTTTGCTTGGAAATTTCCTCAGCTAAATATTCTATTTCACTGCTCACCAATTTTACCTTTCACAAAATACTAGAATACAGTTCAGTCAAATTCTTTGTCACTTTATAGCACTTTAATTTCACTTTAATTTCCAGGAGATAAAGTTCAATGAGGTCATAAGGGAGGAACCTTAATCTGATAGAATTGGTGGCCTTACAGGAAGAATAAGATATCTTTCTCTCATTCCTCACATGCATGTAGTAAGGAAAGTGATCCTTGTTATAAAGTGGCAAAGAATTTACCTCCTAGGCACGCCAGCATTTTTCTAGCATGTACTTCAGAACTCCTCTAACTTCTTACATAGTTCCAAAGCCACTGCCACATTTCTAGCTATTTGTTACAGCAGTGCTCCACTTAGCACCAAAATCTCTCAGTCCACTTTGGCTGCTATAACAAAGTATCATAAGCTGGGTGGCCTAAACAATAGAAATTTATTTTTCATAGCTGTGGAGGCTGGAAAATCCAAGATCAAGCTGCTGGCAAAGTAGGGCTCATTCTGAGACCACTTCTTTTGGCTTGTAGGTAGCCACCATCTTGCTAAGTGCTCATACAACTTCTTTGTGTGTGTAGCCTTCCTCTTCTTATCTGGTCATCAATCCTACCAGATTAGGTTGCATTTTATGAAGTCATTTAACCTTAATTACTTCTTAGCAGTCCTATCTCCAAATATAGACCCATTGGGGTAAGAGTTTAAACACATGAATATGGGGAGAACACAACTCAGCACATAGGAAATGTCTATCTCTTTTGGACCCCATAAAAGTTTTATTGGCTTTATATTGT